TTCCTATTCTTCCGCATCTCATCACTGTAACTTTCGTACGTACGTACATAACATCTCAACCGTCATACTATGCTACGAGTACGCCCAACATATCTAATAAACCCCTGTAAATTTGAAATTCGCCATTTCCGCTTGGTCGCAGCTCCCGAGTCTGCACCTACGTATGCAAACAGCATGACCTGCTTTACCGGTACTTGCACGAAAACGACGAAAAAAAACAAAACACACAAGAGAAGCAGTAATCCTCCCCCCACTGCTCCCAGTAACTGCTGTATTTATTGCATACAAGTAGCGTCTCGAGCCATGGATTCCTATCGTACGTACATGCGTTCTGTGTAGACTACATTACATGAAAAAATCGTTTTCATTTTTATGATGATGTGCAGAGCTGACAAGCTGCTGTGAATGGAGAAGTAGTTTCCTAAGCCTTTATGCATTCGTTGCTTTGTTATGTGTACCAAACCCTTTGCGTGAAGAATTCTCCCGCTACAGAATTAAGTAGAGTCCAAACCAGTAATCCAAAGACAAACAAATGAAGGTGCTTGCACTACTGCTGTACAACTTGTCAACAATGCATGTCCTCCTCGTTGGTCCTCGTTTCATCCGTCCGTCACGGTGTAATCTACACATGAGCAGGAGCCCGTGGTCGTTATCGAGCCTTCCGTCCTGCCCGGGAGCAACTACGTTGGCGACAGCAGCTCCCTGCCGTTCCAGCCGCTGTCGAGCGTCGACAAAGACGCCACCACTACCACCGCCGCCTCCACCCACGACCANCCCGGGAGCAACTACGTTGGCGACAGCAGCTCCCTGCCGTTCCAGCCGCTGTCGAGCGTCGACAAAGACGCCACCACTACCACCGCCGCCTCCACCCACGACCATTTCGAGCACGTTGGCTGCCTGAAGTTGGCGGAGGAAGAGATGGTCTCCCTCCGGAGGATCAAGACCAAGGCCGAAGCTGATATCATCCCGGGGGTGTTCGGCAGGGATGACATGACCCCGCTGGTACGTTGGTGGACCGCTTGACATGACATCGCGGCTACTGGTAGCCAACTGCAGTAAGTCCCGTCTAGACATCATGCTTCCTATTTTTTACGTCGTGAATATTCACGTTGAGTTGCAGCCAGCCTTCAGTTGTCGGTTATGGCGTGGCTTTCGGCGCAATCAGGACGTTTGCGGTCACTCGCCTCTGCCGTCTTTTCACACGCCACATCTCTGTTACTCGCTGACTTCCCCGGTTCCTTTTTCCCCCCTCTCGCTCTCAGGGATGCGCTGCGATCTGTGAGGGCAGGGGGCAAGATGGCTTCGCGGTCACCCGAGGCGACCTGTGCACCTGCTTTACGGAAGCAGACACCGGGATCTTCGACGACAGGAAGGGTGGTGTATGCGATGCCCCGTGTACCGGCGACAGCTCGCAGCCATGCGGCGGAGTTGACTCGTTCGACGTTTACCAGCTGAGCCTTACAGAAGGCCACGACCGGAACCAGCTCCCTCGGCACGCCACCGTCACGGTCGATAACACCGGATTGCCCGTGAACGACGAAACCACCACCACTACCGGTTAGACGAGGGGATCCCGTATTTCACTCTCACCGAACCGTAGCTGATGTCCCGTTGTTGATTTACTCTCACTGTACCGTAGCTGATTTACTATCACTGTACTGTAGCTGATTTACTCTGTACCGTAGTTGATTCACTCTCGCTGTACCGTAGCTGATTTATCATCATTGTACCGTAGCTGATATACTTTCACTGTACCATAGCTGATTTGCTCTCAATGTGCACCGTAGCTGATTGTACTGTAGCTGATTCACTATCACTGTACCGTAGCTGATTTACTCTGACTGTACCGTAGCTGATTTACTCTCACCGTAGCTGATTCTCCTTGTGTGAATGCGTGGGCAAAGGTGGTCGAAACGGTCTACAATGCTGCTATACATTGTTGTGCGTGTCAAGGGTGTGGCCCATGGCGTGGTGCATCGCGTCCCTTGCCTGCTGTTTGTTGGACTCCGTTGGCGACCGCACACATGCATTCATCACCCTACGGAGAGTCCCGTCGCGGAGAATTGTACCAGTCTTGGTATTGGTATATATGATGTCGACCTTTCCCCGACACACTACACTGAGGCTGAGTCTTAGACGTGGACGTGATGTGTCCCTCTTGTCCCTGATCAACCTTTGCTTTGGACTTGCTTATCGGACACCAAACTAAGTATTGGGGAAATCCTGCGCCTAGGACGTGGGGTCTAAGATTCTGCTGCATCGTTGTCTTCTCTTAAGGGTCACTTTTTCGTCATCACAACTGTCACATTGAAGGTTGAACTACCTCACGTCGCCGTTTCCACAGGATTCGCTCCATCCGACCCAAGCACCGCCGGCACCAGCACCGCCGACCTCAGCGGCACCACCACCACCACCACCACCACAACCACCAGCAACGGCAACAACATCAACATCAACAACGATGGCTATGACAACAACGGCGACAACGGCCGCACCACCACCAGCAGCAGCAGCAGCAGCAGCAGTAACAGTGTCAACAACGACAGCAACGACGATGACGACGACAACACCAACGGCGGCACCAGCAACAACAACAGCAACAACGGGGACCACGACGACGATGCCCCAGGCCCGGAAGACTCCACCGCCGGCGACGCAAATACCAACAACAATGTGTGGAGAAACAACCACAGAACTCATCTAATTCTCTGAATATGGCAATCATTCAGTACAGTTCATACCAACACGGTGTTGCGGCCACCAGTGCGTCAGCAGCGGACTTGGTGAACTTGAACCTGAGGTATATTTCAACCGTGTAGTAGTTACAGTTAACTAGCGATCTGGCGGTGCCGAAATGTGTCAACATGATGGACGAACTGCTGTGCTATAGAAGTTCGAGACGCGGCGGTGACATATGAGGTAGCCTCAAATTCAGGATACCAAAATCCACTCACTCACCTACCCACCCACCGAACACACACGCGCTGTGGGGGCGTTCCACCGCTCCGCGCAGGGAATATAGGTTGACGCACCTCCACAGACCCGCCGAAAAGCGTGTTAATGATTCTCCTCCAAACGCTCGTTGTACAGATTCGCCAGGGGACTGTGAGAGTCAAGACCTTCGTCAGCTGGTGGTGGCCACGCCTGCTTTCCCTTGTGGACGCTTCAACACTCAGACTGTGCAAAATGGCCCACGGAGGAGGGGCCAGGTCCTGCCAGGTTTGTACCCTACTACCACCGCCCTCGGTTTGCTTCCCCCCGTGTGATGCATCCAACAACCTCAATCGAGGTTGAATACCAAACGGATATTTGTTTTCCCGCATGTGCTTTATCTATTCGAACATGGTTTGCTAGCTGTTTCGTGCCGCTCTGCCGCTATTGCCGCAATGGTGTGTAGAAGTAGTCAGTGCGGCACGTAATCTCTCAGTTTGCTCCCAAAGCCAGAATCTTGTCTGGGCAGTCAAGAGCTTAAGCCACCGATGGTGGAGTGGAATGCCGAGCGATAATTTCCCTACTACTTGCACCGTCAATCGTATCGCTGCTCTCTCGTCCTGTTTTTCGCTGCGGTTTTTTCGTAACACTCTCTGCGTATTATTCTCGATTGACGTGCCACCTGCCAACTCTTAGGACATGCCCTTGGATAGTTCGACCGAGGTGGTGCGGGTCGAGGGTAAGCACGGGAGGACCAGGAAGGACGGACGCTTCGTATTCCGTGTTTCGACAGGAACTCCCAGAGGCCTGACGAACAAACGGGTGAGCAAACGGGTTTTTCCGTGCAACATTCCCCTCATTCATGTCTTGCATCAAGCTTGTTGTCTACCGGTATGCTCACAATGTTTCTGACGTAGCGACAAAGGATGCTGCACTATCGCGTACTCTCGAGGTAGCTAGCCGGAGATGGCCGTAAACGATTCACGCAAGAGCTGCACAACCTCATGCTGCACCAACCACCACGCCAACTTCTCATGCTTACCTAGCCAACCAACTTTTTTGTCGATTGCTCTCCGTCACCGCCCGTGTTTGTCCTGGCATTGATGGTCCATTTTCCGTCATTCGGATCTACAACCACCCGCCCTTGTCTCGCACTGCTGTATTTTCTAACGATGCCTTCCTTGACAGTGGGAGCTCGATGCGGGAAGCTCCGCAGATTTGGACAAGTGGATGTCGGTCCTGGAGGGTGTCACAACGCGTGATACCCAGAAGGAGACCGATTTTTTTGGGGTAAGTACTTGTTGTTGTTGATGTTATATATGGTGTACGTGTTTGGCGAGAGGCGAGGGCGTGTTGTCGATGCTGTAGATGTTGGTGTTGGCGTTGCAGTTGCTGCTCTTCAACACGCTGTCGCTTCTGTGTCTGTGTTCTATCCGGTAGCCAACGGTACGGTAGAGTTCCTCCTGCCACGGCACGGAAGCATACGGTAACCACAATAGCCTTCAGTTCCACCAATCACCTACGGCAGTAGTAGGCAAACCCGAGTCCATGTCTTCCGTTCCATGCACTTATCGAATTCTGCAACATGCTCTCGTGCGACACCAAACTACTACAGGACACGACGCGGGCGGGTGACTTGGGGAACTCGTTCAAGTTCTCCATGGAGCTCGGGCCGTTCACGTTCGCCCGTCGCCCGCCTTCCGCGGCGACAGCATTTCTGTCGATGACTACCCGCTCATCCCGGGTCAATTCTTGTCGACGGCACCGGTCGTCGATTCCGCTAACCTGGGGTTGACGGAGGTCGGGGACCTGATTCTTCGGCAGGGCGACATCCCGGCCTACCCCACGGACGACACACCGCTGTGGGCCCACCGTGTTACGGGGTCGGTCGGGGGTACTGCCAACGGGGGGCTAGGGTGTGCTGTGGAGGCATGGTGGGAGAGAGGCACGAACGGTGGCCAAGACATGGGCGTTCCCGTCCACCTGGCCAAGAAGAACGGCAGGTGGAGGGTCGGCAGGGGATGGATGTGCACCTTGGGACAAAGCCCGAGGCCGGTTGGCGGGTGGAGGGTGCACCTTCCTTGGGACTCCCACGGGAAGGCTCTCAAGGCCGCGTCATTGCAGCTCCGAAACGGCAGCGTGGTGATGGCCACGGAGGACGACCACATCCTGTGGAGCTCTTCGCCCTCGCCGTGAAGGGGGGTGTGGAGTGCGTCAGTGGTTGCTTCCTGAGTCATCCGGAAAGTGTCCGTTCTTGTGACGGAACGCCGACAAAGGGAAGGATGGAAGCACGGATAGGGAACGGTTTATTCGTGAATGCAGAACAACAGCCCTTCTGTTGCTCCGTCGTGTACATTTAGTTTGATTTAGTGTCTGCTGGCGGGAGTGGTGAATCATGTCATGTCATGTCGGTTTCGTTTGTTGTCTTGAGAATTCGTTCTTCGAATGTATCCTGCCCCGTCCTGGGCTCACGGTTTGGAGCTCGGCAAGCATCTCCATGTTTTCCGTTATTTGTCGAAAGTGCTGGTGATTGTCAATTATTAGTGCAGGGGGCTGAGGGTCCCGCCTCACGTTTGTGTGTTTCATGAATGTCGGGCTGTTTGATCGTTCGAATCGGTCGTTGCTTCGGGGGAGTACCATTCATTTGCGCTGAATTTGCTACGCTGGAGGTTTGTCTGCCACGTCATCTCACAACTACGAAGGGCGATATTTTCTTGAGCGGTACACCTATATTGGACTGCTGTAGTCTGATTTGATTTTCCGACACCCTAGTGTGGATGATGTTCGGCGACTGACACACCGCCACGTATTTAGGCTAAATCTAGACACCTGGACAGCGGGGAAACACGTGTTGTCAAGCTATCTGACATTTATCTGGACGTGCCGTCAATGTTGCACCTTCAGGACGTACGACCGAGTTAATTCATTGCTTTCCGATTACTGCTCGTAGCCGTCGTTGTTGTCTTCCATAGTCCGTGCTGACCTGAGTTCAGGACCTCTTCTCCCTGCATCTATTAAGACTATGTACACTTTCACCAAGGAGGAAAACATACGGAAGGAATCATGCAGTGTAAACCACCACCGCCTTGGCCAACCCTCACACAAGGACTGTTGGACGTTGAGAGTGTACGATTATCAAATTGGGACATGCAGCATTCCACGATATCCTGGCTTCGGCTGGGCTTGAATCAACCCGTTTGCTGTCCTCCGCTCTTTGCATCAGTGGCTTTCTAGGTTCGAACGAGGGCATTTGTGTAGCTGAGATGTGTGTCCACGTGAAAGAATATGCAGAGAGAGTCGTATTGGCATTCGCCTTTAGCGCATTGCGCATTTTTCGAACTTTGGCCCCTTCCAGGGACCTTGATTTTTTCCCGCTGGCTCTCACTTCTTTTCATTGGTCAGCCGGTTTGCGCGGTCGATGCTAATAATTAACACGCACGTACCAATTGCGGCACCAACCCAGCGAACCAAGAATTCAAAAAGGAGTCTCAACACTCGTTGCAAAGAGCAAGTCGCGCTTTGGAAATGCATGCAGAAAGACAGCGAGGGCGAGGATATGCCCTAAAATTGAAACAAAATGCATGAGGGCCAGAGTAGAATCCACCGATCGTATCAAATGCTATCATGGACGATGAACGGATTCCTGGCCTTTTTCCGTGACCCAGACACGCTAACCTTACTGTTTCAACTAGATCGCAGGCAGGGGTACAAGCACGCGAAAAGGCTGCTTACCGTACACCAACACCTAAATATCGTGCAAGGTAGTAGGGGATGGGGTCCCCCTGCCACTTCGTCTGGGTGCGCGCGAACAAAGACTACGTGACTACTGCTGTAGATACACGCTGTGCGCATCCCCCCACTCCAATGTATGATGTACAGACATTTTGACAGTAGACACCGCATGCACCGGCAGTAGTAGCTACACTGCTGTTGATGTGGTTGCTGTCGTTGCTGCTGCAGCTGCTGCTAGTACTGCTTCTGCTGCTGCTCGGTGGGCAGGATCGGTGGGACGCTGAAGGCGGCGAGCTGTGAACATGAAAATGTCTTCTCATTGTCACGAATGTCGAAGAAACCGATTGAATTATCATTCAACACATCCAGCACTCCACCCCATCACATGAACCACGTCTTTACAAGTAATTTAAGACGTGCGATGCTATTATATATATATTATATCACGATTTATATAATATCACGATTCGTCTAATGAGTCCTACATCTTGATTAATGAATGCATTCGCTGCATACGGGGTTAGAATTTTTTTTTTT